AGACTGAAATCATTCAGAATATGTTCTCTGATCACAACGGAACTAAATTAGACATGAATAATTCTAAGATATGTTAGAAAATCCCTAATATTTGGAACTAAACAACACACTCCTAAATAATTGATGAGTTAAGAGAAAAAATCACGTGGTAAATGAAAAAACCTTTCAAGTTGAATGATAATGAAAACCAAAGTTATGTTGTATTTCAACTAAAGCAGTGCTTAGAGAAAAATGTAGATTTAAAAGTTTACATAGAAGAAGAAAGTAGTAAAATCAATGATCAATGAAGCTAGAAAAGAGAACAACGTAAACTCAAAATAAGTAGAAGAAAGGAAATAAGAGCAGATATAAACAAAATAGAAAAGAAAGAGTAAAATTAGCAAATCAAAAGGTTAGTTCTTCAAAAAGACCAACAAAATTAATGAAATACTAGTTAGGCTGATCAAGAAAAAAGGGGGGAAATTACAAATTATCAATATCAGAAATGAAAGATGGGTTATCATTCTAGATGCTACAGACAGTTAAAAAGTACTAAGAAAATACTATGAGCAACTTTATACTAAAAACTACAATTTACATGAAAACAGTAAATTCTTTGAAAATTACAGCAAATTTTTAAAAATTAAATCATAAGATGAAATAAAATTTGAATAGCTCTATATTAAAGAAATTGAATTGTTTATCAAAAACCTTCACATAAAGAAACTCTGGGACAGATGGTTGCTGGTAAACTCTACCAAATATTTAAGGAAGAAATAACACCAATCTTACATAAACTTTTTCAGAAAATACATGAGGAAGGAATACTTCTCAGCTTGTTTTCTGAGGCCAGCATAGGCCTAATACCGAAGTCTGACAATGATATAACATAAAATTACAGATGAATATTCCTCATTGAACACAGGCATAAAAATCTTTAACAAATGATTAATGAATTGAACCCAGATAAAACATAATGACCAAGTGGGACTTTATCTCAGGAATGCAAGGATGATTTAATATTGAAAAATTAACCAATGTAATGAACCATTACAACAGAATAATGGAGAACCAAATAATCATTTCAATAGGTACAGAAAAAACACCCTACATAACGTCCGTTCAAGTTATTGCTCTCCAGAGTTAAGGTGTCATTTCTCTCTGGCTACTCTGCTTTCAAGGTCTTTTCCTTGTCCTTAGTTTTCAGAAGTTAGATTTTGATGTGTCTGAGTATGGATTTCTTAGAGTTTATCTTGCTTGGGTTCATTCAGCCTCTTAAATCTCTAGGTTTATGCCTTTCAATCAAATTTTAGAAGTTTTGAGCCCTTATTTCTTCAATTTTTTTTCAGCCCCACATTCCTTTTCCTCCCCCTTACCGAACATAGGTGTCACATGTGTTAGATCTTGATTGTCCCACAGGTCCCCAAGACTCAGTTCAATTATTTTTCCATCTCTTTTTCTTGGTTGTTCAGATTGGATGTCTCTTGATCTGTCTTCAAATTCACTGCTTCTTTCCTCTGTCACCTCCAGCAGTTCAATTATTTTTCACTCTTTCTTCTTGGTTGTTCATACTAGACCAATGTCTTCAAATTCACTGATTCTTTCCTCTGTCATCTTCAATTTCCCATTGAGTCAATCTAGTGAATTTTTTATGTCAGTTATTATATTTTTCAGTTCTAAAATTTTCATTTGATCCTTCTTTATATCTTATTTCTTTGCTGAGATTTTTTATCATTTGTTTCCATGGTTTATTATTGCTCATGGAAACATTTTTATAACAGTGGCTTTAAAATCCTTGCTTGATAATTCCAAAATCTGTGTCATCTTAGTGTTGGCATCTACTGATTGTCTTTTCTCATTAGAGCTGAGATTTTATTTGTTCTTGGTAAAATGAGTAATTTTAGACTGTATCCTACACATTTGGAGTATCATAAGAATCTAGTTCCTATTTAAATCTTTTATTCTAGCAGATAGAACCTCTTTAGGTTCGGAACACTTGTCCTGCATCACTTTTGTGGACTGTGGTTCAAAAGTCAATTTAGTTCACAAAGCTTCTGCAGTGCTGTTCTGGTCTGCCTCCCTCAGGAGACAGGACTCCACTCCACAGCCTCCACTGTGCTAGGGATGGAGGAGGGGCATCAACTCATCATTACCGGGCAAGGGTGGAAGATAAGGTTCCACCCTCGGACTCTCTTGGGGAGGGGCATTGTCTAGTTAATGCAGGGGTGGGAGACAGGAGTTAGAGCTCCATCTACAGTCTCCACAGGAGAGGGGTACTATTTCCTCTGCTACTGCAGGGCTGGGGTTGAAGTCAGAGTCCCAGCCACAGGTCCCTGGGAGAGGGGCACCTCTCCCTACTGAGAAGTCAGACTTTCACCTAAAGGCTCCATGGAGAAAGGAGGACACCTCAGTACTACAGAGGAGGGTATAAAATAGGTTTTTACTCTACTGGCCCCACTACTGCAGTGCCAATTGGGGCTGGGAAGAGGCGCAGTTTGATTTCTGGTGTTCATCTTCAGAATAGGCAGGTGTGGTCAAAAGGTTTCTCTACAGCTGAACAGCTCTTTTCCCAGTCCTTTGGCTAGAGAGAGCAGACCTTTCTTGGCTACTTTCTTGTAGTCTGTGCCCAGTAGTGTTTCCAGTTTGCAGGGCACCCAGGAGGCAAGAAAAACCCCAGGGAACTCCCTGCCATGTGGTTCCTCAAATCCCAAGGTCCCACTCAGTCTGCCATCATTTCTCCACTTTTCAGAGTCTTCTGGTAGGTGACTTAAGTATTTTGTCCAGGAATTTTTGCTGTGATTAGTGGAAGAAGTAAAATGAAATGTGTTTACTCTATCCTGTTCAGAACCGGAAGCTGGAATTTGCTTTTAAATGCATCAAAAAATAAGATGAATTAAGGAGCAGAAGGTTGGAAAGGTGGCTATATATGTAAAATGAATCGGCATAGTAAAATGTTAATGGTAGAATCTAGGTGGAGGTATATGGGTGTAATCTGTAAAATCCTTTCAACTTTGCTGTATGTTTGAAAATCTTCACAATAAAATGTTGGGGTGGGGGAAATCTCTTGGCCAAATTCAAAATGCACGTGATTAAAAAACAATCCGTACCTTGCAAGAGAAAGAGAAGAATTCCTCTGCTGAGTCTTTTGAAAGAAAGGTACTAGAAATCTGTTCTGATCAATAGTTCCCAGATTAGCTGGAATGAGAGGCTATTAGATGGTAACACCTCCTTGTACAAAAGCTCTAGCCAGCTGACTGCTACTTCTTGTTTTTAATAGCTTATTTTGTCCACAGCCTGGTCCTGAGGCCTTGTCAGTTTTGCATCTCTAAGAGTAATTACATCAGAGTTAACAAGCATAGTGTAGCTGAGCAGCTGAAGTGCTTATAGGACAGTTAATGCTGGGGAGGGACTAAATTCATTATTTGAAATGAAAATAAGAGATGGGGATCTCTCTCAAAATTAAATCTTTATTTTTGAAAAAACAAACTAACACACAGAATAAATGTGAGGGCCCAATCTGAGGAGAATTTGGGACAGAGCTATGCCACTGATCTTTTTAGTAGGTCCGCTTGAACTTCTTCTTTATTAAGACACAGTGTGACCACCTCCACACTGTAATAGGTCTTAGGAATGCAAAGCTCTCTAGGACACTGATTCTCCTCATTCTTCCCACAGATACAACTGTGGCATACAGCATATACTGCATAACTGCATAGGGAAAAAGTACAGGCATTGGAATAGGACAGACTTAAATCTGAATCCTGGCTCTGTTTTCTTCTAACTTAAATGACACTGGGTCAGCACCTCTGCTCTCAATATCCTATCTGTAAAATGGAGATAATGAATGCCGCTATCACGAATTCAGTGAAATGATGAATATAAAGTGCTCTCTTGCCTATGTAGAAACATACTTAGGCCCACACTTTCTTAATTCTGGGGTGGATGAAATGAAAAGAACAAGAGCTCATCTAGTCTTTTCACACACTGATGAAAGTTCATCAAGAACCCTGGATGCAAAGCAGCTAACTGTGCAGTGGTCTCTTACACTTCCTGTCAGGACTGCTTGGACAGTACTTGCCCCTGGATTACACCTTTACTCTTCTGTTGCCTGGTTAGTCTGAGGCTAGGCACTCCTGGGCCAAGGCAAGACTGCTAGTTACGGCTGAGCTCACTGAGTCAGAGGCAGTCCTGGAAGGTCTATACAACTTTCCTAGGTTTTCTTCTAAAAGGGCCTACCCTAAACCTCCCTGGCATAAGCTTGACCAGAATTTTCAACAAAAAGCTATGAAACCTGATGAACAATAGCCTCTCTCCAGTGGTGGAAATATAAGTTTTTTTAAATGGCTGACTTACATTTTTTTAAGAAACAGATTCTAAATGCCTAAATATGTTGTTTGGTAAAATGCTTAAGACTTTTATTCCTGTTACAAAATAACAAATGAATATAGTGACTAACCTTTGTACGGTGGGCGAGTCAACATCTATCCTACGTCTTTCACGCACACTTTTTAGATCTTCACAATGTCCTATCTCACCTGCCTCTCTTAATCCAACAGTTACACTCCCAATTTATACAGTTGGTTCCGTAAAAAAACCAGCCTACGGCACCTTTTGCCATTCCCAGAATCAGTCCAAAATCTTTCATTCTGGCCGCTTTCTGCTCCACTTCATAACTTCTCCTTCAGCCCAGTTCTCATCCCTATGATGACTTTACATACAGGCTCATTTTACAGCTTGAGAGGCGTCAACTGCCCTCTTCTCTGGTTCTGAGTTCTGGTTTCCCTCCCTAACTAGGATTAGTATTTGATCCACTGACTACACTCCTTTAAATCATGCTGGGAAAATATCTGGCCAGGCCCAGTTGCTGGACGTAGCCCGAGCAGCCAGTACTTACACACTGGTTTACACCCCAGTCTAAACACTTATGCTCTATCTAAGTTTTCAATTCATTCATGTGTAGGGACCACAAAGAGGAATTCCCAGAGCTAACACACCGGGCAGTTAATTCCTTTTTCTTTTACCTCTGCCTTTGGCTCCGCTGATTCATTAGAGGTATCGAGTTGTTCCTTGGCTTGGGCCATCTGAGTCATCAGCCTGTCCATGTGGGACTGGATGTCTGCCAGTATCTCAGTCACATGAGCCGTGGCCATTGCTTCCTGGATGTCCACTAGATGCAGGGCCTTCTGCTCCTCATCAGCAATCACTTTCTGAACTTTCTTAAATTCCTGCTGTATAAACACCTTCATCTGGTCCCGGGTTACCTGTAGAACACAGACAAGGAAGAATAGTAAGTTGAACACACAAAGAAATGGAAGGGTAGAGCTATTACTGTAAGTACTAGGCAGCTCTGGCCAAAATAAAAACAAACCATAGTTCCTACCTGATGCTGAAGTTTTGGGAATATCCTCTAAACAATGCTCCCCTAATATCTTCAATAAATTTCCTGTTAATCTTTTTGCCTTTTTCATTCTTTGGGAAGTAATTCCTTATCCTTCCTTTTTGTTTTCCCTTTTGTTCATTTTTATACCAGTAATACATGATTACTTCTTAAAAATTTAATAGATAAGTGTATATTGTAAAAAGTTAAATTCTACTGTCTCCATCCTGATACCATTTTCCCACTCAGAGGGTAATTACTGTTAACAGTTTGTTATGTACCACTTCAGCCATTTTCCTACCTAGTTATATACATATATATATATGTATACTGACAATTATGTTGTTTTTTATAAATGGGTCATAGTGAATACATGGTTCTGTGTCTCGCCTATTTAAAATGTTAATATGTACAGGTCAACTTTATTCTTTGCATTATTTTTAATGTCTGTATGATACAGATAGATATGGATATTTATATATATAAATAAAAGGATAAATATATCTATTAAATATTTCCCTTCTTAATGAAAGTGTAGGATATTTCCAAATTTTTGCCATTACAAACAATACAGCCAAGAACATCCTTGGATACACCTTTTAATATTTGCATATGAGTTTCTTTATAGACCTTTGGAGTCACTGAGTCAACTTATATATACTCTAAAAATACTGACTGATACTGCTAAACTGCCCTCCAAAAAAGATGCATCAATCACATTCCTACAACAATGTATGAAAGCAAGCATTTCTCTACACCTTCACCAATATTGGATATTAGTGAAGCCTTTAGATTTGTACCCTCATGGGTGAAAATACGGTATTGTTTTATTTTGCAACAACTTTGCAGACCAAATAAAATACAACTGCAGGCTATATTTGGCTAGGGCATAAGGCAAACAAAGTGAGAAACCACCAAAATAAGAACTTCTAAACTCCTTGTTCTGCCAGTGACTCCACTTACTGATGTTTCCTTGCAAGCATGTTTATTTTATGAATATTTTTAAACAACTGTGCACACTGAGGAGCTGAGGTAGGGACCAGGGAAGAGGCAGAACAGTAGACAAAAGGAGAAAGGCCAATACAAAATTTTAGAGCTGAAAAAGAAAGTATCGTCCTCTAAGAGAATGCCTTCCTTTTACAGATAAGTGAACAGACACAGCTGCAAACCTGGAGGAGACACAGAGGACTCCAACCTTCTTGTTCCTGGTCTGGTGCTCTGTTCACTACCACAATCTGATGGAAACAAAGTCAAACTGGGAAAACCTAAAAAGGAGACTGAAGAAGAGAAAGACTAAAGGAGAGGGGAAAATGAGGCCATTTTTAATTAGCCCCTTAAAAACTGAAAGAAGCTAGATACATTAAGCAGCTTTTGTAACAATGCCATATGAACGCCAATGAAAAATAAGGCCTGGACGACAGATTTGCTCACACATCAAGTGACTAAGTGACATAAACCCTCAAGAACTCATATACTCTGTGTAGGTGCTCTCCTTGGTGCTAAAGAAAAGGGAGGGGGAGTGTCAAATGTTATTAATGTCCCTGCAAATTCTGTATCAGATTGAGAACTGTGATTTGTGTTTATTTATGGAATTTCTTTTTATTTTTAGTGTGTATATTTCAAGACTGTTATGCTTTATGGTGACCATTCATCAATGGATCTCTACCCTCGAAATAAATTAGGTCTTATAAGACCTAGGACCTCCTCTTAGAGACCAAACCTAGGAAGTTTTAGCCAAGGGATGAACTTTTCTGAATGCCTACAAAATCTCTTAACAGTTCCAGGTGACTAAAAATGGAGATCATAATAAAACTGACTTGCAATCTATTTTACTAGACTTTGCATACACAGATGGTTCAGAGTTAGGAAGCTGATGTCATAGTCAGGAAAGGTGTGGACCAGACTGCACTAGGTGATAAATCATGGTTTTGAAAAATTAAAGTTTTTATTTCCCATTGCTTTAAGCAGATTTTTTAACCTTTATGTAGTTTATTTTATACAAATTAGGCCACAAATGAGAACTGAAGGCAGAATAATCTACTCTCTAAAACGCTTTATGCCTTCTTCCAACTCCTGTTCTCTACTGATCAACAAATAGGTATGCTCCAACCAAGTTCAGAACGGCAAGAACAAACTTCTGGGTCACAGCATCCTTTCAAATTCAGAGCCCAAAGGACAGACTTCTTGGGGGACTGGGCAGGTGGTAGGTCTGGAGAAAGGACTCCTACCAACAGCAGGAGTGAAATAGCTTTCAAAACTCCCTTTTAGGTTTCATTTCACCTCCTTGCTATCAAAACCATTCTGCTATAAACTGAACAGTTCTCCAAGAAGTAGGAGGCCCTTCACATCAGCACCTGCTACCTGGGAGCCAGTGACATCATTTCTGAGGAGGTTTCTTAGAACTTCTTCAGGCTCTATCCCATAGCTCCCAGGAGTTGAGAGTGATAGTCTCATACTCTTGACTATACTACACGTGGTGTTATGTAAAAGGAGAAAATTCTACATAAGCAGAGAAGAAGGAAGGCTGGATGTATCACAGAATGATGAAACTGGTGGTGATACAAAATGTTCCTTTTTTATAGGATCTACTAGTAGTTGTCAAACCTTTTAAAAGCCACAGAACTTCCCTCACGCCAAACAAAATCTTAATGTAGAACTCCAAAATATAATAGAGCCAAAAGAGGAACTACTCTGGTTAAAAGAAAAATCTCCCCTTCCTCCTTGAAGCACTTCCTAGGGCACTGGCAATGGTCTCCAGGAAAATCTCACCTGAGGGGTCTGGGTCCTCTACACAAATGAAACCCTAAAAGGAGTTTTCTCCCTTTGGTCAACTGACTGGCCCCTAAGTTGTTGAAACCTTAAAGCCCTATGTTACAAGCAAATTGATAGATCTTTGTTATGGCTGCATTAGGGTGAAAAGCTATGTTATTACTTAAACATAGCATTGTAATTTGAAAAAAATTGGCAGCTTATTTGTGAATGGTCATAACTAGTGAACATCTGACTGTTCTCATTAGAGCTGACTCCAACCTCCTCGTTTTATAGGTAAAACACACACACACACACACACACACACACACAAGAGGCTCCAGAGAAGTGCAGCAATAAAGTCAGGTTTAAAAACCAACTTTCCTCTGGTCGAGTCCAGCAGACTTTCTGCTAAAACATATTGCCTCTAACGATCCCTTTCTGCCTGCTTCAAGTTCTTCAAATTTCCTTCTTCTTAATTGAGATGTTTCCTCAGTTAACAGGCTGCTTCTGATGTTATCCCCACTAGGATGCTACTCCCCCGAAGTGAATCTTGGGATAAAGAATGTACATCTCAAGAGTTAAGTCTCAACCCACAGTACTTTCTACATGCTCTTGTAGTTAATATTTCCAAGCTAGGCTGGACCCAAGAGGCATGTAGACTAGCACTTTACACATACATAATTAAACACATAAAACCTTGAATTAAGAGCTTGTACTTAAAAACACCACCATTCGATGTGCTAGACAAGGGTTAGAAGCCATTAACTCCTAGCTAGCTGGCCTGTAGGAAACTAAAGTTTTATTTACTTTTCTATTATAAGCAGATTATAAAAACAAGCAGCAAACTAGCTAGAGAACATTATGGCTTAAGAAAGATTTGTTCCAGAAAAGTGTTGCTGAGATAAACTGAGAAAGACAGAACAGGGTCAGGAGCAGGAAGCTAAACAAAAGAAAAGGATCCAATTCTACACTGATTGAAGGTTTCAGAAATACCTGTTCTATTAACCAAATTTCCTGCAAGTAAGTTTAAAGGCTCCTACTCCAAAAACGACTGCAAAAAATGTGGACTGCATGAAATAGAGTGTGAAGACTCTACCTCCTGAAAAGGTCAGGTCCTCCTGAAAAGGTCAAGTCCAGTTTTACTCCCCTTTTCCTCTTCTGAATGATCACTATTCTAAAATAGAAAAATTAAAAAGCAGGAAATCGAACTTTTGAGACGCCGCAAGCTGTCCTCACTCCTGCAGCACAGTGCCCGCCCAGCATGCCAGTGCCATGGCAACTTTCAGCTTGGGAATCTCAAAGCTGAGGCTTCTGTACAGCCTCCAGTATTTACTCTGGCATTTTACTCCAAGAGAGCTCCTTCCAAAACTTGGCCAGGCTCCAGTGAGGGCAGGCAAGGGAGGAGCTTCAACAACAAGGAGGACAGGGTCCTTTTGCGGTGGAGAAAAGGTCTCCCATTTCCTGTGTCTTCTGTGTATGAGTGGAATAGGCACTATCTACGAATAAAACAACTGCCTGCTCCTTAGGCTTGGAAAATTATCCAGCAGCCCAGAAACACAGCAGAGATGAGCTATGAACCATAGTCCATTACTAACATTCTGTGTGATGTCAAACATTTTCCTGACAACCTGGTTAAAAGCCTGAATTGCTCAGAGATTACAACTGAGGGTAGAGAAAAGGTTATTAAAGTGAACGTTTAATCTCTTCCTTAAACCATTTTTCTCATCTTCATCAGAAGCCTCAAGACAAAAGCAGTCATTTGTATCCTCTTTACCTCCTTTCATCCTCCCCAGTTTGTTAGTATACCACCATGGGATCTCCACTTCAGTTATGACTTGGCTATTTCAAGTATCCACTCAATGAAGTAAAAGTGAAATTTACTGCTGCTGTTGTTATTATTATTTCTATTCTAAAAGGCTATAAGAAATACACCAAAATGTTGGAGAGTGGTTATCTCCGAGCGATGGGATTAAAAGAACTTTTCTTTTCTTTACTTTTGTACTTTTCAGTCCAAATTTTCTATAATAACGTGTGACACATTTTTCTTGAACGATAATTTTCAAAAAGAAACGTGGCTCAAAGAAAAAGTTAAATTATCAATAAGATATTAGCAAACTGAATCCAACAATGTAT